TAATATATAATGAAAACACCATGAGGTATCTCAGAAAAAAAGGACAATTATGCCCCACTTTTATTTGAAGACCACTTCTAATAGACAATCAGTTTTTGTCACTCGTTTTAGAGTGGCTGCTAAAGACAGGCTTTACTGTGTGTGTGTACACAATATTCTTCCATTCTTATATTTCTACAGTGGGAGCGTATGCAACAGTTCTTTTATGCCAAAGGTGTATGATTTTCACATTTTTTGACTAAAGTTCAAATATACTTAATAAATATGGACCTCATCCTGAAAAAATATATGCACATGTGAAACTTTACACATAAGAGGAGTGCCATTGAACTTGGTGGGCCTATTCATGTGAGTTACTCATGTGCATAAGTGTTTGCAGGACTGGGGTCTATATAAGTTTTGGTGTATGATATACAGGACTTAGGAAATTACGATTTTCATATTACTTTAGCAAATATATCTTTTTGACATCTTTCAATGTATTTTTAAAATATGTGGCTATGATAAAATAGTTGGTGTCACAAAAATCAATCTTAAAAAAAATCTATATTCCACTACGCTGTTTAAAATCAATATAGATGGCAAATAAATTAAATCAAATTTAAACACCTTACAATTGCTGAGGGTTGACCTGCTTAGTAATTTCCACGAAATGGCTCTGTTTAAAAAAAGGTGATATTGCCTAGCATATTGTTGTGTCGTACTTGGTTCCACTAGAGCTGGGGGGAAAAAATGGATAAAAATTGTTTCCCAAAAATACATATTCAGGTCAGTGGAATTCACCAAATTATTCTGTCTGGAAAAAAAAAAACCTGAGAATGTTGAAAAGATTTGTTTCAACATTTTCAAAACAAAATGTTTCAATTTTTCAATTTGAAATGACTTTTTGTTTCAAATTTTGCTTCAGTTTTATTTTTACAAAAAGTAAAAAAGAACATAAAACAAAAACCCAAACCCAAATCCTTTGGGTCACACAAAATGTTTTGATTTAAAACAATTTTTTCCCCAACTCTTTTGTTTTCCTGAAAAAAAGTGAAAATTTCTTTTTGGGTCAACCAGAAATGAATTTTTTCTCTGAGTTTTTAGTTTAGCTTCTGAACCAGAAAATCAGTTATTTACACAGTTCTAGTTTCTGTGGCCTGGTTTAAAAAATGGAGAAGTTCTAATTTCCAGAAGCAGTTAATTGGGTATGAAATTGGTGCTAATCGCAGTATGAAAGATATAGTTACTTATCTTGGCAGACTATGGACTAGGTGCCTGATCCAAAGCGTATAAATATTAATGGAAAACAGGTCTCTCACAGGCCCTACATAGGTGCTAAGGGGACCCATAACCCATTAAAGAATTTTGGGGAACCATGAAAGACTTAACTAGGACCTTCTTTTGGGAGGTTAAGAGTGTAAAATTGTGTGCGTTAGAGCAGTGGTCTCCAAAGTGGGGTCTCCAAAGAGGATCCTTAGGGGTGCGCGGCAGGAGGAGCCAGGCGGGAGTCCGAGCGCCTTTTTTTTTTGCTTCAGTGCGGCAGGGGGTGCGTGCTCAAAAATTTTTTACTGATAGGGGTGCGCGATCAAAAAAGTTTGGAGACCACTGTGTTACAGCAGCATCTGACAAGCCCATTGTATTGAGAGACAGTTGACATAAAAGTTATGTGAAAGCTAGTGGCTTTGATTTACAGGGATTCACATGAACTTTTCTTCTGGTTTTAGTTCATTATGATTTGTGCCCCCTTAGTTTCTAGTTTGAATGAACCTTAAACAAAGTGAAATTCAGCCCCCAAAATTGAATTGCACATGGTTTTCTCCAAAACTCTAAATCTGCTCAGGTTCATTTAGTACTTTGTCCAGATTCACAAGCTTTTTGAGGACCAGACAGTAGTTTCACGTAGGCTTATTTACTGACCAAGAAAAATGAAAGAACCATCTTCACCTGGACCCCCCTGCAGAGTCCCATTACCATCTCACCCAGAACCCCCCAACAAGCCCCTGTGTATCCCAGGGCTGCCCAGAGGGGGGGGGGGCAAGTGGGGCAATTTTTCCCAGGCCCCGGACCCCACAGGGGCCCCCACGAGAATATAGTATTCTACAATATTGCAACTTTTTTTTATGGAAAGGGCCCCCGAAATTGCTTTGCCCCAGGCCCCCTGAATCCTCTGGGCAGCCCTGGTGTATCCAGATCCCCTCCACACCCGGATCCACCACTGAGCCACCCACACCCAGATTGCCCCACACAGAACCCTCTCAACCCACCCCTGGATCCCACCACGCTTGGATCCTGCCTTGCTGAGCCTGCCTGCCCACACCTGGTGCACCTTGCACAGAGGAGCAGGGCCCTGGGGTGTTTTGGGGGCAGGCCTGGTCCTTGCGCTGTGCCAGGGTTGGGTGCAGCATCACCGTTGAGTCCGTGTCCCAGGGGGATCTGCACAGTGATCTCCCACCTCTGTGCAGCCAGTGGCCTGTGCTCCCCAATGCCATGCTGGAGCCTCCACATTTATTTGACAAATAAAATTTGCAGAATTTTAAAATATTGTGCGCAGAATTCTTTGGCACAGAATTTTAAATATTTTGGTGCAGAATGCCCTCAGTAGTAATACCAATGGCACCTCAGACTAAGTACCTCACTAGCTCCTCTAGAACCTTTACATATGAACTGAACAAGAGGGGTAGCTGAAATGACCCCTGAAGACTCCTGCATCAGAGTGCCTGCAGGAGTATTGACTATAGAGTGTCTACAGTGCTTACCCATGTCTAGCCCACATGGATATTATATCACCTGATCTCATGTAGTATTTATGCTCTAAGCTTGATAGCTCCAGCTTTGTGGAGAGTTGAATTTCACCCACAGTGCATGCAGATTCTTGTGTTTTTTTGTTGGGCCACTTCCATTTTGTTTTTTAAAAGAAAGCATTTAGCATTATGACAATAATATCAATAAATGGCATGCAGATATTAATGTGCTACAGATGCTCTGAGTGAAATTAGTATAAACCATTCACCCTGTTAAATCACACTGGCTCATTTCTGAGTTAATTAGGTAGAACAGAACAAAGTATTAAACCAAGCACAAATACAACTGACTCAAGGCTTTACAAAGGGTCTGAAATCTATCAGACAAATTTCCAAAGTTTTCGTTAATGAGGGGGAGGATAAACACTTTAAAACCTTTGTATTACAGCAAATAGAGAGAGAAAAAAATACATCTTCATATAAATACATATAAATAACATTATTAATACAAGGAAAAACTAATTTTTATAACCAATCAGGAAATCAACATTGAGCCATGGTCTAATAACTAAATAGAACAACCTCTTCCCATTGTTCAGGATTTTATTTGTATGAATGTTTCATGTGTTACCACTCCTTCTGCTGGCAGATCTATGATTTTAATTTGCATCAAACTGCATTCCTTATTGAGTCTAACAATTCTTGATATGCGTATATAACAAATGGGAACATAATAATCTGAACCTACAGTGGTGCATCTCATTTATTCTTCAGATGCCCATCATGGTGCTAAATTCCTCACTGCACTTTTGACTAATTTTTATCTGTCGTGCTGCTAAAAGCTTTGATAATATAAATTAAAGCACAAAAAAACCTACAGACATTTCACAAAGTATTTTGCATAAACATAACTCTGAATAAAGCTAATGGTCTAAGTAAGGCCACAAAAGCAATGACATTTTAATTCCTATCAGGCCAGATTCATCACCGGCATCCGTGCTCTATGCATAACACCCATTAACTTTAATGGGGTTGTGCCTGCTTGCACCATGGGTGGGGTCTAACAAGGTCAAGTTACAGACCAGAGCCACTTTTTACTGGCTGCTGAAAAAAGTTAGAAATTTTTTTTTATTTCAAATGTAAAATGACAAAGTCAAAGTGTGTAAAAAATTAAATTAATATTTTTTCTCTCATTATTATTTTGACCTGAAATCTGTTTCCTTAATTAAATTAAATTTTCCTCTATGATGTGTCCATTTTTGGTGCACCATTAAAGTGTTTGCTGATCTGCTGGCACTGACACTTTTAAAAGTATAAATAGTTTTGAAGCTATTTGCTTAGCCCACACATAAACCTTGGGCCCTGATGCAGCAAATGACTCCTTGTGTAGGTCCCTGCACCCAGGATGAGTCCCTCTGAAATCAGTGCAGAAACCACTTGCAGGACTGGGGGCCTTGCTTTGCAAAAATTGGCCCTGATGCAAGAAAGCATCCCTTGTCAGGAAAGAATGTTTGCTTGTACCAAAGTCCCATTGGCTTCTGTTTTTAAATTGACTACACTGGGACTTTGCATCTGCTTAAGTTCTTTCCTGAATTGGGGCATATATCTACTAAAAGATAAGTCAAATTTAAGTTATGGCAAACTTCACCATGCCTCTTCAACTAGCTATAAACATAATAAGGAAACTACAAATGTGTTAGAAGGAGATACTTGATAATAGATAGCATTGCTAACCAGAGGCTCTGACTTTCTAATGTGTGCTCAACTCCCTGACTCTGCCCCAGCCCCCCCCGCTTCTTCCCACCCCCATTCTATCCCTGCCCCGCCCCCACTCCAACCCTTCCCCCAAGTCCCCATCCCGCCTCTTCATGCCCCGATCCACCTCCTCCCCTAAGCACACCCTGCCCTCGCTCATCCTCCTCCCTCCCAGCGCCTCCTGCATGCTGCGGAACAGCTGATCCGTGGCAGGCGGGAGGCACTGGGAGGGAGGGGGAGGTGCTGATCAGCAGGGCCGACAGTGGGTGGGAGGCGCTTGGGGGGAGGGAGCTGGCTGCCGGTGAGTGTTCAGCACCCACCATTTTTTCCCCGTGGGTGCTCCAGCCCTGGAAGACCCAAAGAGTCAGCGCCTATGCTGTTAACCATCCCACTGGCTGGGAATAGCACACACACAAAGAGGTATTTCAATTGAAACTGATTACAGCCCATGATTATATGATCCACTTTTAGCTATATAATATCTTACAATAGTGGGCTTAAAAATTAATCATAATTACTTACAACTTATGGTGATGCCAAGCTCCACGTTATGCTTCTTTGGTAGTTTTACATGAAATGTTCCACTACTTGGTATAACTGATTCTGTAATGAAAAGTAGATGAGTTACAGGCTGCAGTACTGTACTTGCAAGGATGTGGAGTTTTAAGTGTAAGCCAACGAAAATACATTAGTAACACTTACATCACACCTACCCATTCATGAAAACAATGTAGGAGTTGATGTGAAAGGAGCATGACACATGCAACATGTTTTATATCAGATGGTAATGTCACTGCATAAGGTAAGGTCTGTAGCTCCATTATTCTGAGGGTTAAATCTCAACTGATGGAGACTGCATGTGCCTACCGGTGGCTTAGCCCACAATTCTGTGTGCGTGCGTACATGATGTTGTCAGGTAGCTTTTAATTAAAAAGACACAAAATAAGTCCTGATTTCAGGCACTTTTTGGTGTAGATCTAAGACATTTTGAAATATTCACCTAAATAACTGCAGTGGATTTTATTTCTCATGAAAAGTAAAGGAACAAAAGCATAGCATAGTGAGGGAAAGCAAGGAGCCAGCTGAGGCAATGAAAGTTTGAACACACAACGTTACATCCCAGTCCTGACTTGTGGCACCTCCATTGCCCCAGATAAATCAGACTGCATGTTGCCGTGGTTTAGAGATGTAAATAAATACCACTAGCAACTAGAAGTCTGATTCTGCTCTGGTGAAGTCAATGGGAGTTTTGACCAGGGCCGGCTCCAGGGTTTTGGCCGCCCCAAGCAGCCAAAAAAAAAAAAATCGTGATTGCGATCTGTGGCGACAATTCGGCGGGAGGTCCTTCGCTCCGAGCGGGAGTGAGGGACCGTCCGCCGAATAGCTGGACGTGCCGCCCCTCTCCGGAGCGGCCGCCCCAAGCACCTGCTTGCCAGGCAGGTGCCTGGAGCCGGCCCTGGTTTTGACATAGACATTATTGGGAACAGGAGTAGGCCCAAAGTTTGAAACACAAAACTCATTTTCATTTGTGACCTCAGACAGATTTAAAATTTGCTCTCCAGTTGAGCATGGTGTTATTTTTGAATATTGCAGTGGCTATGTACAAAAATGCAATAGTCTGACTATACTTTAATGGAAATTTGCATGATAAGATATCACTCATAATTATTACTGTAGCAACCCTTAGCTGGGATTTTGCAGAACATGACCATTATATGAAATTCCATTTGTAAGAATATTTATACCATGCAAAATCACTGCAGAACTAACACAGTAATGACTTCTAAGGAGCTATTACTAAATTAGTGGAGATGTCTTAATGGTTCTTAATATTTTTTATATATATACATAATATTAATTTAAACATATTTAAAAAATAATATATATGTGGGGGTGGGTTGGTGGGTGTTTTGGGGTGTACATTGTTTATATACTGTGCATATTACATATATAATCTGTGGTTTTGTATTCTATATGCTTCAATACCTTAAAAAAGGTGAGGAGTCCTGGGAAAGTAAAAGATGCATTGGCAATGTTATGCATTTCCTGACTTTTATTAATTTAAGTTTTTGCATATAATTTACATTGTTGTTTTTCAAGATGAAATTCTATTGATATTCTTTCTGGTCCATACCTCAAGAATGGAACCATTAAGATTTCTCCACTAATCCACTGTTTACATAACACTTTTCTGTGCAGCAAAACATGTTATTAACAGGTAACACTCTATAGGAGATTGTAATACATTTAGGAATATTCTGCTTAGTTAAGACTCAAACTCTGGACAGAAATATGTTTGCAAATAAGGAAGAAGAGGGACTGTCACCATAACTTTCTACAGCATTTGTCATTTCCACTGGGGTTTTGGAGCACACTGAGGAGGGCCATGTGCAATGAGAAAGCTGCACAAACAGGCACAATTTTCAGAGGGGCAGCTTCCCAAACAAATGGCATCTGTGAAAATAAAGTTTCAGCCTCAAATGCCTGCCAAATAAAATACACATGAAAATCATTCCTAATACTGTCTTGCAAAAAATATTATACATTCATACCTGCAACATCAAACTCTATTTCTAAAGTGACCTTGTTGGTGATAGAAGAGTCTCTGAGAAGCTGATTAGCTTCTTCAAACGTGCTGTCTTCTGTTGGGATTCCATTGATTGCCATGAGTCTGTCTCCTATTTGTAGAACCCCACACCTTGATACACAATAATAAAAATTAGCCTTCAGATGTACAGGTAACCAGTATCCAGTTATACAAAATAAATCCCATCTAACCTTTAAAGAGGATGATATATCAGCTCATTCTATGGAATGGCAACTAGCAGTTGTATCTACTATTGAACTAATGTGGTTCTACATGAAACCATGTTATCACAAAAACGTATGTAGGTGCAGTTGAAATGTTCCAAGAAGTAATTAATAATTCAAAACTCAAGCATTTCCTACGTTGTGATCTGAACTAAAACTTAACAGAGATAGATGCGGTTCCTCCTTTGCAAAGAGTTTATTAGTTTTGAATTTCAGAGATTTAAAAAAAAAATGAATTCTCTCCTTTTTAATTAATATAGCCTCTAGTCTGCTGTTGAAGGAATCAGCAAGATAAAGGCACTGCTGCTTGTTATTTGTCTTACACCTGATCAAGAATACAAAATTTTATTATCAGAACAGGGAGTTCATTACGTGCTACTTTTCCACTGAGCAATGGTCCAGAATTTCTCAGAAATCTGAAAGCAATCAAACCAAACCATCCCCAGGCATCGTCAGCAAGATATAGTTAGAAGCAATCATCTGAAAGAGCCTCACCTTTCTGCTGGGCTGTCACACTCAATATATGAAATCAGAGGTGGAGAAGACAAGGTCTCAGTGGCAAACACGCTACCTTGGAGCTGTATCCCAAATCCTACAATGGGGTCAGCTGTCAGCACTACTTCTGTGGTTTCTGTGTGGACAACCTGCCCAGCCAGACCAACAGTGCTAGAGGCTAAAGACACTAAAACAGAACAGACCAGAGGGAAAGACATTCAGACACAGACAGTAGAAATGTAATTGCTTTCTGATATAATCCATTGTATAGATTTTAAGGGCAGAAGGGACCATCATGATAATCTACCCTGACCTCCTGCATATTGCAGGCCACAGAACCTCACCCACCTACTCCTGTAATAGACCCCTAACCTCTGGCTGAGTTACTGAAGTCCTCAAATCATGATGACTTCAAGTTACAGAGAATCTACCGTTTACACTAGTTTAAACCTGCAAGTGTCCCATGCTGCAGAGGAAGACAAACCCTCTCCCACCTGGTCTCTGCTAATCTGACCCAAGGGAAAATTCCTTCCTGACCCCAAATATGGCGATCAGTTGGACCCTGAGCATTTTGGCAAGACCCAACAGCCAGACACCCAGGAGAGAATTCTCTTTAGTAACTCAGAGCCCCCCGCACACACACACTATCTGGGATCTATCACTGGATGTTGGGGAATATTTGCTACTAGCAGTTGCAAATTGGCTACATGCCATTGTAGGCAGTCTCATCATACCGTCCCCTCCATAAACTTATCAAGCTCAGTCTTGAAGTCCGTTTGATTTTTTGCCCCACTGCTCCCCTTGGAAGGCTGTTCCAGAACTTCACTCCTCTGATGGTTAGAAACCTTTGCCTAATTTCAAGCCTAAACTTGTTGATGGCCAGTTTATGGCCATTTGTTCTTGTGTACACATCGGCACTTAAATAACTCCTCTCCCTTCCTGCTATTTATCCCTCTGATGTATTTATAGAGAGCAATCATATCTCCCCTCTGCCTTCTTTTGCTTAGCCTAAACAAGCCAAGCTCTTTGAGTCTCCTCTCATAAGGTAGGTTTTCCATTCCTCGGATCATCCTAGTAGCCCTTCTCTGTACCTGTTCCAGTTTGAATTAATCTTTCTTAAACATGGGAGACCAGAACTGCACACGGTGTTCCAGAGGAGGTCTCACCAGTGCCTTGTATAATGGTACTAACATTTCCCTATCTCTACTGGAAATACCTCGCCTGATGCATCCTAGGATTGCATTAGCCTTTTTCACAGATGCATCACATATGCGGTTCATAGTCATCCTGTGATCAACTAATACACCCAGATCTTTCTCCTCTGTCACTTACAACGGATATGTCCCCAGCGGGTAGCAAAAATTCTTGTTGTTAGTCCCTAAGTGCATGACCTTGCACTTTGCTCTATTAAATTTCATCCCATTTCTATTTCTCCAGTTATCAAGGTCATCCTGATATTCTTGTATGATATTCCGGTCCTCCTCCATATTGGCAATATCTCCCAACTTTGTGTCATCTGCAAATTTTATTAGCACAATTTCACTTTTTGTGCCAAAGTCATTAATAAAAATGTTAAATAAGATTGATCCCAAGATTGATCCCTGAGGAACTCCACTAGTAACCTCCCACCAGCCTGACAGCTTCCCTTTCAGTAGTCTCCCTTTAACCAGTTCCTTATCCACCTTTCAATTCTCATATTAATCCACATTTCCCCCAATTTAACTAATAATATCCCATATGGAACTGTATTAAATGCCTTACTGAAATCCAAGTACATTAGATCTACTTCATTTCTTTTGTCTAAAAACCCAGTTCTCTTATCAAAGAAAGAGATCAGATTGGTCTGGCACAATCTAACTTTTGTAAAACCATGCTGTATTTTATCCCTGTTACTGTTCACCTCTATGTCCTTAACAACTTTCTCCCAGTAGTATTTATTTCTTTAAAAACATTAAAGAGGTCTCTATCCATATCAGATCCCGGGGGTCTGTAGCATACCCCAAGCACTATCTGTATGCCAGTCAGGCCTACTATTCCACTACAATATTTGGTTTCACTTCCTGCACCAGTAGCTATAGTTCCTCCATTTTGTTACCCAGGCTCCTTGCATTGGTGCACATCTATTTAATAAACTCACTGACTCCCAGAGACAGTCAACTTCTCATTCAAACTCTATTTAGAGCAAAGTTTATAAATGATATTTAAATGGGTATGACAGCTAAAAAGAACAGAAAACAGCTGGTTTTACAATTTTAAAAAGAATGGGTCTGAATAGCTTACGGGAGTTATGTACCGACTCCCACTGACTTTCAGCCGCACTACCAGGGCTGTAACTAGGGTGGGACGAGAGGCGCAGAGCTGGTGGGGGCACAAAAATGGGGTGGCACAGGATCGGACCCAGCAGCATCACCCCCCCCCCCCCCCCCGGATTGTGCCCAGTGGCATCAGACCCCCCACCCCCCAGGATCAGCTGGAGCCCAGGGTGTTCAGCACACCCCCACCCTGCAGGATCGCGGGTCCAGTGACCCCATCTAGAGCAGGCTCTCCCCAGTGCTAGGACTGCAGTGGCAGGCAGGCAGGGCTCTGAGTGTTGAGTGGCAGGAAGGGCAGAGGAGGGGAGTGCAGAGGTTAGGGGAGAAGGGGGCATAGGAGGGGAGTGCAGGGGTTAGGGGAGAAGGAAATACATGAGCATCAGCATAAGCACTAGGAGGAGATGGGGTGTACAAGTGGGGCCTTGTTTCGGAACATACACGAAATGTGCTAGGTGCTGTACGAATCTGTGCCATAAGGAACTGTGTGTGTGATTAGCTCAGGATGGAGCTGTTGCATTCCCCAGACCTGCTGTATGGCCATGAGCCACTGGCTCTGCTCATGCTCCCTAACCTGTGTGCAGGGCTGAGGCCTGACAGAGCAGTGTCGCCAGCTTGGGGCATGGCCCTTCCCAGCATTGGGGGTAAGATGACCAGGTGTCCGGTTTTTGACCGGAACACCCGGTCGAAAAGGGATCCTGGTGGTTCTGATCAGCACCGCTTGACTGTCCGGTTGGCGGCGCTGTCTACCACCCTACCCCTAGTGCTGCCCCCACCCCAAGTGCCGCCTCCGCAGTTCCCATTGGCCAGGAACCATGGCCAATGGGAGCTGCAGGGGTGGCGCCTGAGGACGGGGCAGCGCGCAAAGTCAGCTGGCGGCGCCTCTGCATAGGAGCCTGAGGGGGGACATGCCGCTGATTCTGGGAGCTGCTTGATGTAAGCGCCACCTGGAGCCTGCTCCCCTGACCCCATCCTGGTCCCCAACCCTCTGCCCCAGTCCCATCCCTGATTCCTCCTCCCGCCCTCTGAACCCCTTGATCTGAGCCCGGAGCACCCTCCTGCACCCCAACCCCGTGCTCCAGCCCTGATCCCACTCCTGCCCTCCAAACTCTTCAGTTCCAGCCCAGAGCACCCTCCTGCATCCCAAACCCCTCATCCCCAGCCCCACTCCACAGCCTGCACCCCCCCCACATCTCAACCCCCACCTCAGCCCAGAGCCCCCTCCCATACTCCGAACCCCTCAGCTCCACCCCCCCAAGCCCAGAGCCCCCTTCTGTACCCCAAACCCCTCATTCCTGGCCCCATCCCAGAGCCCACAACCCCAGCCGGAGCCCTCACTCCCTCCTGCATCCCAATCCCCTGAGACAGCCCAGTTAAAATGAGCAAGTGAGTGAGGGTGGGGAGATCAAGCGACGGGGGGGGGGGGGGGGGGGGGGGGGGGGGGGGGAGGGCCTCAGAGAAGGGGCAGGGCAGGGGGCAGGGCAAGGGTAGGTTTTGTGCGAGTAGAAAGTTGGCAACCCTAACTGGGGGAGAGAGGACATCTGAGGTTAAGGCTCTCATTAAAGTTGCTAATCACCAGTTGTACACACTAGAGGGTGTTTGGAATTTAAACAGACTCATCCCTGATCAGGGTTTCGCTGTGGACGAGCCAGTGTGATGAGCTGCACAGCCATGGCTCTTGGGTGGCCTGGCTGAACATGGCAGTGACACACACCCACCGGGCACTGCTCAGGCCACTCACAGGGTCAAGACTGTCCTGTGGCCTTTGCCTCACAGAGTGCTGACCTCTGCCCCTTGGCTGACAACAAACATTTGAATCCTGACACAAATGCATGGCAATGGCAAGGAGGAAAGGCCTCCTAGAGCACCCCATGGCAGCCCCCTGGCACTCACATGTGCTCAGCTCTCATGGAACTGGGGAGTCCCAGGCTGAAATTCCAGCAGAGGGGTCTAGAGATGCACGTTTTTCACAGCTGCTGACGGAATGATGGCCCTGTCACTCACACACGGATTGCAAATTACAGTGGCCAGCTCTTCTTTGACCCTGTTCTATGCTGTAACAACCTTTTCACTGCATTGAACAGCTCCCTGGGCACTGGGCCAGCAAAGGAGTAACTCAGGGCGGTACTGCTCTGTGGTGACACTCCACAGCCAGATGGAACCGCCATGTGCCACTGTGCTGCATAACAGCTTTGGAGAGCTTCACAGCTGTGGCGGGGGCACAACCCCGCTCGCCTGCACCAAATCACAGGGCCCTGAGGCCTGAGCTAACAGAGAATCTCTGCTATATGTTAGCAGTGTAGGGCCCATGACAACCAGGGGAATCACAAAAGGTACATGGTGCACATACACACTAGCCTGTTCATTGCACACGTGCCTCGATAGACAAAGCTTGCCCTGAGAACCAGCTATTCAGATCTAACTTCTGACATCAGCATAAGAAATCTCTGTGCACCAAATGCTTCCATCCCATAATTTCCGCCGGCGCGGCTTCTCTTTCCTGCTCCACATCTCTGGATTATGACTTCTAACAAAGAAGAGCTTTGAACAATGGACAGAGGACCCCAATATTTGGGATGAACCAGAGAGACTTATTACAAACTGGCAGATTTAACATCATTGTATTAACCTGATCTACAAACTCTGAAATCAATTGTAATGTATATGATTCATTTTAACCTCTTAATAATATTCTTCCTTTTTTATATATTAATAAACCTTTAGTTTTTAGTTATTAAAGGATTGGCTAACAGTGTGGTTTTGGGGTAAGATCTGAGGTGTGTGTCGGGGTCTTTGGAACTGGAAGAACCTAATATATGTGATTCTTAGTTTTAATAATAATTTATCACAGAAGTCTGCTTTGTCTGAGTGGTACATG